GCATTCCCTCCTGCTCCAGCTTGCCAGCGGTATGGTGTTGAGGAGGTGCATGGCAACTGTCTTCAAGACAGAGGTAGAAAAGCCTGTGCCCACCAGGATGCCAGCAAAGAGCTGCAGGCATTTGAGGTGTAAGGCTCCATGCTGGGCCTGCCCTCCGATATGCCTGAAGAACTTCACCTCTGCCACAGCGTAGCTCTCTGACCACGTCGTGCTTGGGGTGAAGATGTCCTCTGTAAGCTGGCTGCTGAGGAAGATGTCCGAGTCGCCTTGCTGCAGCCCAAACACCATCTCAATGGAGAGCCTTCTCCCGGAAGTACTGGTAAGTTGGAGCTTGCAGGAGCGGCTGGAGGGCAGCACACTCATGCTGTAGCTACACGACTGAGGCATCTACTCCCAGGCAGACCTCACCAGGATCTGGAACCACGCGGCAGTTTTCTGCACGTCTAGGTAGTTGCCGGTGCAGAGGGTGCCTAGGAGGCTGGCAGCCATGTTTCTCATCAGCTCCTCCGTGGGGTGGTGGAGTACGCAGAACACCTCCTCCCCCAGCTGGTCCCCCATACAGGTACACTCCAGCTGCACACGGACACGGCAGTCCTGTGCCGGCATGTGCTCCGCAGTGCCCAGCTCCAGGTGGAAGGTGTGCCCACGGGGGGGTTTCAGGGGCACAAGCAGGCAGTAGACAGCGTCCCGCCCATGGGGACTCCAACCTTCAAAGGCGCTGCCCACTCCGATGGCTGGCTGCAGGACCGGGCAGAAAGCCGTTGCCAAGCGCTCTTGGAGGACAGAGAGGAGGTCGCCCACTAGATGCTCCACCACCCGGCTCCTGTAGGCCAGGCTCTGCACTGTCCACTGGATGCGCTTTTCAGAAACCCCGAACAGACGGCTTGCATCATCAATTTCTTCTTCACTTTCCTCCTCCTCGCTCTCTGTATTGCTGCTGGAGGTTGTCTCTTCACCGCTGATGGCTGGCTGACGGCTCCTTTTCCTGAGCCACCAGCAGAGTCCGAAGAGCAGGACCAGGACCACAGCAAGCGCCCACAACTGCCACCGCTGCAAGGCAGCAAAGAGCAGGTGTCCCCAGGCAGAGGTGCTCTGCTCCATCCCTTGCAGCAGACGAGTCATCCTCTGGTTCCACTTCTCTGCACGCTGCTTCATGCACCCACACGTGGCCTCATCCAGCTCATAGCCCACCTTCTGTGGGACCGGGATGATGCATTGCACAACCAACACGAAGAACTTGGTTGAATCCATGACCTGCAGGAGGAGAGACAGAAGGGGTTCAGTGGGGCTGGGAGGGAGGGAGGAATGGAGCTGGCGGTGGGGACAGCGTGGCCGGGAGCCGCACGGAGGTGGGGGGAGGGAGGGG